TAGAGATGTACCAAATACAGGAGGTTTTTTTTCTAAGTGACATTTAAGTGACTATGATATAGTGATGTTCAATGAAACACAGAAGTTTTGGAATTTGAAATCGCAAGATTTTACTAAAATTAGAAGCTTGAAAACTTAGGAATTTTCAACTTTATACACAACCATTCCCCGCGATAAATTAAAGTGCAGGCTTGTCGATATCATTGAAAGCGGCTTTTCAATAAAAATGGAACTCGTAAATTTACTTACCTTGTCATTGGTCATTTGCAAAATTATTTTGTTTAAACACATTTTTAATGCACATATAAGTACTCTGGAGTTGACATCAAAAATATGCTTGAGTTTCTGATTGACAATGTCTATATGGTTTTTGGAGACAAGGTATTCCAACATTCTATTGGAATTACCGAGGGTACCAATTATGCTCCATCATTAGCAAACCTCTTTTTATATTCATATACGGTGTATATATATCTCAGTTGATTGCATACGCCAGAGCATGCTTGGCGTATAAATTTCAAAAACGAGGTTAATTTCCAGATAGCAGGATGTAATTGGACCTTTGCCGGGCAAAACAATACTCCTTATATTGGGCAACCGTATGCATTTAACATTGGGCCGACGGTAATTTGCTCATCGGCCCTTAATCAGACCAACTTGTTGGCTTATTGTTGGGCCAATGTAACAGAGAATGTTGGGCACTGTATTCTTGTGATATTGAGCAAACGTCTTTTTGTACAGATGAGCCATCGTTATGACAAAAGTTCGAAAATGCTATTTTTTAGCTTATATATCAGTCCAGGTCACAAGATCATTTAAAGGAACTTTAAATTAGTGGAGTAAAATACTATAAATTGAAGTCTCTATCTTTCATGGTCCAAAGTTAAGGCAGAGGTTAAAGTTAACAGACAGATAAACAGATAAACATGACAAAAACAATATGTGCCCTCGATCTATCGAGCCGGGCGCTTAAAAACTAAGCCTTCTGGGCCAATTGGAAAAAAAAATTATCTTATAACACAAAAAAGGTTAGGCACTGTCACTTTCCCTCTCCCGGGTCTCTCTTCCCTTCTTTTCTTGTCTGCTCTTTTTTTTCCGCCTCCATCTCTGTCTTTAGCATATCTCAGCCATTCTTTAATTGTTGTTTCTATTTCTTTGTTTGTGGAATCTGTTGTTGCTTTGTTTTTTCGCATACTCTCTTAACTTAAATACATTAGTTCCTTTTCTCAATATAGAGTAAACGTACATTTATATATTTAAGCTGTCAATTAAGGAATAACCGTCTAATTTTTTGTTTCATGATGAGATTGAGCGATTAGTTTGCGTGATGATTTGCATTATCACTGAAAGCATTGATGCATAAAATTATCGCAGAATACAATCGCTTGATCATCATTAGAAAAACAAGAGGCCCAGGGGCACAATTATCGCTCACCTGAGCTACTAGCAATGTAAAAGAGGGGGGGGGGGGCGGGTGAACAAATTTATTTTATTTTTATGATTTTATAATAAAGATCAATTATACTAATAGCTTTGTAATAGCTTTGTTGTTCTTAAGGAAATTATAAGCGATTTTTCCTATGTATACTTGCATAAAACCTAGGAATGTCAACTTATGATAGCTCAGGTCAGAGTACTTTATAGCACTGTAAAAACACAAACATCAGTAGAACGTTCTCTGCAGCAACTAAACAGGACTGGAAGGGGATGGAGAGTGATGGAATGGCCCGGCTTCCTCAGGCAGGGTCTCCTGTGTCTGCTCAACAACATTACACGTCTTTCTCTTTGCCTCCCTGTGGGTTGCCGAGTCCTCCCTGTTCAGAGGTACGTAGCAAGCCATAGTGTACTTATAAGGATGGTCATATTTCTGGAGGTAGTGTTCGTCGCATGTGGATCAAAGATATTAACAGTAACAAAGTTTCATAATAACAATTATTCGATATAAATAATTTAATAAAATAATCGCCATCCCGATTTTTAATACATTTTAAATTACAAAATTGCGTACTTTACACTGAACTGTTCTGCGTAGCCAATCACTTGTTGTATTTTCAGGACTTGTTTAAAGAATAGGCATGGTATCTCGGATGTCCAAAAAAAGTTACAATCTCACAGAGATGTAGAGCGATTTATGCAAACACAAAATTCATAGCACTTAAAAAAATGTGTAGTAATGTAAACATTCTTTACTAAATGAGCAATCATTAAAACTTTTATATTTTGTTGTGCTGAACATTAAAAAAAACATGTAATAAAGGAGTATTATGGCATAGATTGTGACTAGATTGAATGACTGGTACATGTATCATACTGATCTTTCGAGTATCTATAGGATTTTTAGCAACTGTTTGTAACGTTTATTCAGTAAACATCAACATACTATTGAACATCGAACCCGATCATAATTAAGACATGGTAGATTTAGTTAACACTTATCGTTACATCCCCTTTCTCAAGATTTTTCTTAAAAATTATGAATGTACAAACCGAGCATTTTTCAAATGTAAATTATACATAAAGCTTATTTCCTCAAAGTCCCATAATAGTCTACATTGTCCAGAATTTGAATGTCAGAGTATTAAAAATAATTACTGGGTTCTAATAACATACAAACAAACTAAACTGTTAAGCAACTACTTGTAGCAACATAGAAAACAAAATGACTAGATTTCTTTGGAAACCTGAGGTAGACAAGGTATTATTATGACCTTATCACTATCTACCTCTCCTACACAAAACACTCAAAATTACACACGAAATCCTGATACTTCTGTGGAGGTTTGATTTCGCGGCCACTCCTTGTATGACGTTTGCCCGATACTTCAGATGTTGGATTTGGTAAAGGACATGTTTTGGCTGGTGTGATACTCTTGTCAACTATCGGTGTGTTCTGTGCTTGTAATGTACTCTGAACTGGGGTTTCCACTCTGTCCATGTCTCTGTTAGTAGAAACACTAGTCTCCAAATTGTCTTTATTTACATCAGGGAACAAACTGGTGTTTCTGGGTAAGTCTTCCTTAAAAAACGGTTCCCTGCTAAGTCGTATATGTTTTCGATTTCTCCTATATACGCGTCCATCTTCTGTACGAACTTCATTGGAGCGAATATCCACTTAATCTCTTACTTGTGCTTTTGTCCACGACTTCTCTCTCCCGAATGGACGAATTCGTACAGTGTCTCCCGCATGTAATTTCTGCATTTCCTTTGTGCCGCAGTTATAGTAGCTAGCTTCTTTTCCTTTCCTCTTGTACAACTTCCTGGAGATCCCACTGGAATTTGAGTTTTCAACTGCTTTGAGGAAAGTGTGAGTCTAGTCCTGGTTCTCCTGCCAAACAGTCTTTCTGCAGCTGAAAGTCCAATGCTCTCACTTGGTGTATTTCTCCAGTCCAAAAGTGCTAAGAAAGGATCTTTCTTGTCAAGGACACATTTGCGCATTAGGGCCTTAGCAATCTTGACTGCGTTTTCTGCTTTTCCATTTGACTGAGGGTAACGAGGAGATGAAGTCCTGTGCTCGAACTCGTACTTTTCAGCAAAATCCTTAAATTCTCTACTGTTGAATGGTGGACCATTATCAGCAATGCCATGACGCGCTATCTGAGCTTTCATCTTTGTAATGACTTCCTTGCCAGTCTTTCCATGTAATCTGTCTATTTCGAAAAAATCTGAGAAATAGTCTGCACATATAAGGTAGTCATTTCCGTCAAACTCAAATAAGTCACAACCAACTTTTTCCCAGGCTCTCTTTGGGATATCATGTGAAATTATTGGTTCCTTTGGCTGGTCAGGCTGACATGAACTACAAATTTCACAACACTGTATATAATTCTCAATGTCATTGTTCATATTGGGCCAATACACTGTCTCTCGTGCACTTCTTAGGCATCCTTGTATTCCAATATGTGTTTCGTGAACCCTCTCAATAATGTCTCTGCGAACTCTATCAGGAATCACAATTCTCTCCCCTTTGAATACTAGGCCGTCCTGGATGACAAGTTCATCTCTGAATGGAAGTAACATTGAACTTTATCTGGAAGTTCATCCTTGCAGTCTGGCCATCCCGACTTGATGACATGTTTCAACAACTTCATTGTTTCATCCTCCTCAGACGCTTCTTTTATTTTCATGATCTTTGCTTCGGATATTGATATGTAGCTCCTCTGATCAATATCGAATATGCTTGCTTTCTCCATATCTTCTTCTGATGCTGGTAGATAAGCTCTGCTTAGCGTATCTGCTACGTACATCTCTGCTACTTTCTTATAGACTTATCAAACTTCTGGAGTCGCAGTAGCATCCTCTGAAGTCTCCTAGGTGCCATCACAAGCCTCTTCCTTTGGATGATTTCAAGAGGCTTATGATCTGACTCTATCTTAACGTGACGACCATACGTGTAATTCTCAAAACGCTGGAGTCCAAAAACTACGGCCAGCAATTCTTTCTCAATTTGCGCATAATTGCACTCTGTCTGGGTCAATGCTCTCGAAGCATACACAACCGGATGTTTATCCTGCATCAAACAAGCCCCTAATCCATTCTGCGATGTATCACACTGTAGTATTGTCTCTTTATTTGGATCAAAGAAACTCAAGACCGGTGCTTCTGACAAAATCTTCTTAATAGTGCTGAAGGCATTTCCATGGACTTGCTCATCCCAATGAAAATAAGTGTCACTTTTCAACAAGTCCCGAAGCGTAGAAGTAACTTCTGAAAGATTGGGTACAAATCTCTGCACAAAATTGACCATTCCTAACAAACGCTGTACTGCTTGTCTGTCTGTAGGAGTAGGCATCTCTCTAATTGCTTGTACTTTACTTGGATCAGCACTCAGTCCCTGCTTTGAAATAACATGTCCAAGGTAAGACACTGATGTAAGTCCTAATTTCAGTTTGTCAAGGTTCAGTTTAATGTTCTGCTTACATCGGTACATCAACTCAATCAGCTTTCGATTATGGTCTCTAATCGCCTCTTCATCTGTGTCTCCGCAACCGTAGACAAGTATATCATCGTGAATTGCTTTGGTTTGAAATCCTCTGAAATTCTTCAGGTGTTGGTGCTATGCCAAAAGGCATCCTCAACCAACGGTAACGTCCCCAGGGTGTTCCAAATGTTGTTAGGAAACTACTGGTTTTGTCGAGCAGGACATGCCAAAATCCGTCCTCCGCGTCCACTACTGAGAAGATCCTGGCATTTGTCAAATCTGGTAGGATGTCTTCTATTGTTGGAGTGGGGTAATGATTCCTCTGAAGTGCTACATTTAGGGGTTTCGGATCAATACAAAGTCTAATTGCCCCATTTGACTTCCTCGCTACAACCATGGATGATATCCAGTCAGTTGGAGTCGTTACTGGAGAGATAACTCCTAGATTCTGTAGCCGATCAAGTTCTTTCTTTAGATCCGACTTGAGCGATAGTGGCACTTTCCTGGTACTTATCTTTGTTGGCTGCACAGTAGTGTCAATCCTGAGGTGTAACTCTCCTTCAAGTTTTCCAATTCCATCAAATAATGTTGGATACTGTTGTTTCAAATGTTCTTTGGTAAGAGGCTCTGTAGTATCACTACACTTTCCACCAATCTGTGCGACAAAGTTCTGCTTATTCACAGTGATAAGTTTCATCGATTGTATCGCCGATACTTCAAGAATAGGGTTAAGTTCTGTTCCTGACACTATCACAAATTCAACGCTGTACTTTTTTCTGTTTCTAGGATTGCGAACAGTCAGCCTTCTTTTCCCCAATGTAAACTCAGGTGACCTATTGCTATCCGTTTTCGTCCGTCGTGCGTCGTGTGTTAACATTTGAACATTTTCAGCTTCTTCTCTGCAACCACTGAACCAATTTCAAACAAATTTGGCACAAAGTATCTTTGGGTGAAGGGGAACAAAAATTGTGAATTTCATGATCCCTGCCCCCCTGGGGCCTGAGGGGTGGGGCCAAAATCACTAAAATTAATCCAATCTTTAAAAATCTTCTTCTTTACTCCTGGACATCAAGCAGTCAAACTGTTTGCATGATTGTAATCAGCATTGAGTCCTCTACCAAACTTGTGAAATTCATGGCCCTGGGGTCAGGGGTTCTAGTGCTAGGGCGGGGCTAAATAAGTATATAGTGAAAATGCATTATTTATTTGAAAATCTTCTCTGCTCCTGGGTATTGAATAGACCAACTAAGTGCATAGTTATGATGAGCAAGAGTGCCTCTATCAAAATTGTGAATTTTATGGCCCCAGGGTCAGGTGTTCTGGTGTTAGGGTGGGGCTCTATTGATTATATATAGTGAAAATACATGATTTCTTTGAAAATCTTCTTCTCTGGCCCTTGGTATTAAATAAACTAACTAAGTGCATAGTTATGATGAGCAAGAGTGCTCTTACCAAAATTGTGAATTTTGTGGCCCCAGGGTCAAGGGTTCTGGTGTTAGGGGGGGGGGGGTCTATTGATTATATAAAGAAAATACATGAATTCTTTGGTAATCTTCTTCTCTGCTCCTAGGTATTGGATAAACTAACTGCCTCTTCTAAAATTATGAACTATATGGCCCCAGGGTCAGGGGTTCTGGTGTTAGGGCGGGGCTCTATTGATTATATAGTGAAAATACATTAAATCTTTGAAAATTTTCTTCTCTTTCTCTTGGTATGAAGCAGATGAACTACCTAAATAGTTATGATGAGCAATGGCCCTAATCTTGCAGAATTGTGAATTCAGGGTCAGGGGTGGGGTAAGGGGGCTCTACTTATATACTGAAAATGAATTAATTATTTGAAATATGCTCTTTTGTATTTATAAAACATTTATTTATTTTTTGATAGGCAATTTTAGGTGTGCCTTTTTAAAATTTGTGCAATGTGTGGACCTAGGGTCAGGGGTTTATGTCACAGTGTTAGGGGCACTACTGGTTATTGCTGAATATTACAGATTAGTTGGAATGAAATTTTGTTCCCTACCCTGCGTATGGATATTCAGTAACCAAGCTAAGCAACTGCTAAGTGTATTGTTATGATGATCAATGGTGCCTCTTTCAAAATTGTGAATGCCATATAGCATCTGGCTTAAAACATGAATCAAATTCAATAACTGGAAAGTTGTTGTATAATGCTCAGGTGGCCTCTTGTTTTTTACACGCTACTTGTACAAATCCCCCTCTTCCACAGAAAAACATGTTATAACATAAAACGTAGTATAAATGAGTAAAGAAAGATGTTATTGCAAATAAATGTTCAGTAAATTCATCTTCACCATGATTTAAAAGAAATTGAGCTTCATGGTCTTTTAGAGATAGATTACCGAGAGAAAGAAATTATGTAATATATATATAATTATTGATTTCTTTGCACTTGATGGAATGAAGCAAACCACGTCAGGCGAGCTTTTAATGAGAGATGACAACCGAAGGATTGCTGCCTTTCATCTACACCTAAAAGGCCCTGCCCTAATTTGGTTGAATTTGAATGATACATCAAAGGGCACATGGACATATGTTAGACTCGCTTTCGTATGTCAGTACGCCAAAACTGATATGCTGGATCCAAATATGGTTGCGGAGAGTGCCATATTTGAGTCTTTCTCTCAGTCGCACACAGCCCGCTAAGGATTTTCATAGCTAAATTCTAGAAAAGGGGTTTAAACTACAAAAACCTGATAGAGACCTTATTACTAAATTTCTCAATGACCTACCACAACAGTTTGCGTTCTTTGAACGGACCGCATCTGTCACAAATTTAACGGATGCTTTACAACAAGCCACACTCGGAGAGGCTTATGGATATCGCCAGTCTACGGCTCCAGTTTCGGTCGCTGCCGTTACACCAAAGGAACCCTCAGCGACCTTTTCCAACATGGAGAAGCTTTTGTCCCAGCGCGTGGAACGAATGGACCGCCTAGAGGCCACGGACCCAGAGAGGAAAGCCGCCCATCGCCCAAGACCAGCCCAACCAGGGGCGTAGCCAGGGTACTTTTGATGTGGATCCCCAAGTAGGCAGGGGAGTTTATTGCCACCTTAACAACTTAACTGGTTAACATGATAAAGCCCTATTTTCTAGCTCTGCTGGGGCCCAGGGGGCGACACCCCCGGAAACTAGTGAATTTTCGAGTTTCGATGTGCATTTTCGAACCTCCTGAATGCATATTTCTTACAATTTAGATAAGAAGTTTGTGACACATAATTGAGGTCAGCTGTTTCTGTACAAAATGCGGACAAACACTCAATATAAGAAAGGATCTGTCCAAAATACCTTAGTATGGTAAAACAGTCGGTGTGGTAGAACATTAAGTAGACTGTAAAGCACTTAAAAATCTTAGCAATATTTGATAATACTAAACCAAATTCAGGGAAAATCTCGGTCCTTCGGATGAGACCGTATAAACCGAGGCCCCGTGTCATAGTAGGTGTGGCACGATAAAGATCCCTCCCTGCTCAAAGGCCGTAAGTGCCGAGCATAGGCCTAAATTTGCAGCCCTTCACCGGCAATGGTGACGTCTCCATATCAGTGAAATATTCTGGAGAGGGACCTTAAACAGTATACAATCAATCGGTTTTAGAGAGGCGTATAATATGTATCGTATATAATAAAGAACAGATTCTGTTAAAATTAATTTTTTTTCTTTGCAAAATATGCGTATGCTGAACATACAAGTATGTACTTAGAAATTACGCCTGCCTCTCTCTCTCTCTCTCTCCTTTTTTTCAAAAATGATGTGGACGTTTGTGCGTACAAACGTACGTCTGGCTTCGCGCCTGCCAACCAACTAGGAAATCCTGATACGTGCATGTGTTACAATTGCACTGGCCCAAACCATCGACAAGCTGAGTACAACTGTAACGGAGAGGGACCGCACGAACCATCCGTATTGTGCGAGATCTGTAAGCAAAACGGACACAGTGCTGCGGCCTGTAAAAGGTCACCGTTGCGGTAAACTAACCGCGCCCAGTCTGCAAAAGGCACATGTGTTTTGTGCAAGTGTAAATAGTGAATGTGATAAAAATAGTGCTGGGGAATTTATGTACATGCCAGTCAAGATCCAAGATATGCAAGTTACTGCACTGTTAGATAGTGGTAGTAGTATCAATATCATTTCAAAGCCTCTCTTAGATAAATTGCCGGTTCAAAGCAAATCAAATTTTCGTTCCAGCAGTGAACAGACTGTCAAATTGGCCAATAATCAGTCTGTTTGCGTCTTTGGGACAGCCAGTATCTCAGTGCAGACAGCTTGTTCGTCTGAAGTACATTCAACATTTGTATATATTTTAGATTGTGCATCTCATCCTTTAATACATGGTACTTATTTGATTTCTAAAAAGATTGTGTTAGATTTTGACAAATTTGTATCTTTTAGAGGTCAGAGCAAATGTACAAATTAAAATTAGATGTAGATCTAGTTTTTCAGTGCCACCAAAGTCAGAAATGTTCATAAGTGGCAAAGTTCGCAAAACCAAAATGATAGATTTACCAGGTGTTTGTTCTGTACATAAGTATTTGTTTTTGACGAAAGGGTTACTTCTAGTGAAATCAGTATCTACTATTTCAACGAACGGCTCAGTCCCTATTAAGATATTGAACCCTCTCGAACCTATGTTTGTAAATAAAGGATCAATTCTGGCTCATTTCAAACCACTTGACAATTCGTTCCACATTCAAACGATAGACTTGGACAAAACCCCCGTCGAGTGTGCAAACGTAACTTTATCTGACTCCAAGTCAGCTCCAGCAGAGAATCCTCATTCCAATGAACAATTTCTGCTGAATTTTAACTTTGACGATGAATTTCAGGAGTCATGTAACATTACTTGAACTTGATTCATTTTTTTCCGTTTTGATGACGTCACTTCCGGTCCGGAAATATTGTCGATTTTATGATTTTTGAAGGGTCAGGTCGTTCTAAAAACTGGCTTAAGATAGAAACGTGAAAATTTCAGGTATGATAGTCCTAAGTCTATAGATGTGCAAAATGAATTTCATTTTTATCGGAAGTGCCGCGCGTCGGCGCTCGCTATGGCCCGAAAATTGTCCTACAACCTCTTCTATGATATCTTTTTACTTTGAAATATTTTGTTATAACATAGAACAAAAGAAGTGTAGAATTCCAAGATCTTTCAAATGATATCTCGAAAAAAAGGCTGGCCCCTAAAATTAAGGGACTGGAGGGGCCATAAGTTTTTTCTTTATATCTCAAAAAATATTGAGAATTTGTAATACATCAAAGAAGCAAAGTTGTTCAAAATGTCAAGCTTAATCTACGGGCGTCGTCTAAATACATCCGACGACGTCACTTCCGGCCAAACCGGAAGTAGTCGGAAAACGCGTATTTTGGTCATTCTTGACAAGTTTTTGGGTATCTTATGTCACAAAGAACATCAAAATAAATTTTCCGTCCGTCGTCGTCACTTGTGGTCAAACCGCAAGTAGCAAAAAATGGCTTATTTTTGCATTAATTAACATAGATTTTGAGGATTCAACCAATTTTGGGGCGTTATTTCTCATATTCGTTAAAAATGAAAACTACTCCCGGTCAAACAGGACGGAAGACCTACTCGTTGCTTTGCAACGAGCTTTGCTCTAGTTTTTCATTCTATTTAAAGTTATAATCATGTATATTGTTCTATAGGCATATTCCATTGCTGT